CTTATATATTATATTGCTGCGTTTGCTGCTTAAAGTGCCTTAGATTTTGTGTTACTTATTTATCTACTTTATATTTCATTTGTATTTTGTGGCATTCATGTGAACGGCAAAGTAAGAATTTCATTGTACAGGGAAACACGTTTCCTAACTGTGCATATGACAAACACTTTGACTTTCCTGGTCCAGAAGTGGACCCATCTATGGCCTGGAGCCCTGACACAAGGGTCTTTGCTGTTTGCAGCAGAACCTCAGTGGAAATACCTAAAAAACCGTTCTAATGTACACAGCATCCGAGTAAATGTGATTGGTGACGCACGGTTTGATGTGGCCAATGGGTTTGAAGTCAGGACAGAAACAAACTACGTCTGAGGGAGAGTCTGGTCTTTGGGACGATGCCAGCAGTGATTCTGAGGATGTGGACAGGCTGCAGATGTTACCGGATCCAGCTGCACCTGGCGATGGCAGGTTATACAGATGTGATCGGATCGATGTCTGCGTCAGGAAACAGACGTCGGCAGACACGTCTGTCGGCGTCGGGCTACTAACGTAAAATAATAACAGGAGAGTCTCAAACAGATGCTCGTTTTATCTTCAGAAAATTTAAATACTATTAGAATTTATTGTTAAATGTTCATGTCAGTTCAGCACACTTGTGTCTGTTATTAAATGTTATCTGATGTAAAAAGACCCCCGCATACACAATAAAATATCCATATCAGTCAACAACTACTCCAAATTATGACTTGCCATCAGTGACGTGCGGTCAGGGGAGGCAGAGCCTCCCTGTCAATCTTGAAAAGAAAAAAAAAAGTTAACCATAAAATATAATAAATGTTAATATTTGTCGGCTGGTGTGTGTTGTAGGCCCTTTTGCCGTTCGAATCCGATGTTGAAGGAATTTTTTCCAATAAAGAATAGCAGAATTCCCGTATGTCCCGTTCAAATACATGGAGGAGATGCGCGATGAGGCAGCACTTTGCTGTGCCTCTCGGTGGATCGTGTAATCCTCACAAACTGTATGCGATGCCAATAGTGTGTCGCTGTCCCTCTATATATCGCAAAGAAAATGCTTTCAAACACTGATTATATGCTCTGCCTTGCCATAATCTGGATAATGTATAAAATGGGGTTCTGTAACGTGTTTAGGCTCGCAGATTAACCATAAAACCCAGTTTAAAAGTTACTCGGTGAGGCAAACAGTACGCCTGCCTCAAGGCAGAGGGCGCTTGTGAGCCCACAGATTCTTG